GGTTCCTATACTTGTATTAATTTTGGGTTGAGGTTATCAACTTGAGTGGATCCAGGCTGGAATTTATATATTGTTCTATACTTTATTTGCTTCTTTGCCATTGTTAGCTTCTTTATTGAGGTTATATAAAAGTGAAGGGAGATTAAACATAGGATTATTACTGTTAGGAATAATTGGCTATCAGAGAACTAGGTTGTTGTGGTATCTTTGTTTTGTGTTAGCGTTTATGGTTAAAACTACTAACAAAATCAAATTCACTGACAAAAACCCTACACAAAAATTATCCATTTTCTTTACTACAGTTCTCCTAAAAACTATTAATATTACAATCCAAACCCTCAATACAATCAAAATATACCTTAAATAATCAACCCTCATTATATAACCCAGACAAAAAGAATAAAAATCATGGTTTATTATTAACAATCCCGTAAAGCATATTATCAATAAACCCACCTGAATAATCCTTCAATTCCTCACAAGCCCCATTAAAACCAAATTAAACACTAAAAACTTTAACATACTAAAATTCCAAATCCCCTAAAGTAATCGTTACCATGTGAGCGAACAATAGAGACCAGTAAAGATAAACCCAAAGCCCCTTCACACGCAACCATCACTAAAAAAAATATTACAAACACACCCTCTAAACCAACCCTGAATGTATAAACTCTTATAACCCCAAACACATTTAATATAATAAATTCCAACCTTAATAAAACATTCAACAAATGCTTATGATTCAAAATAAACGCTCAGAACCCACAAAAAACTATAATTAACAACCTAAAACCCTCAATACCTAATACCATCATACATCCCTATCTCCTCTTAAATTACCCTAATCTTCACTCTCCTAAAACTTATGACTTCACCTTTACGTAAATCCTATCCTTTACTTAAACTCGTTAATTCTACACTTGTAGATATGCCAATTCCTGCTAACATTTCAATTTTCTGAAATTTCGAGTCCATCTTAGGGTTGTGTCTAGTAACTCAAATCGCAACCGGACTATTTTTATCAATTCATTTTACCCTACATATTGACCTAGTGTTTTTTCGAACGTAGCACACATCTATCGCGATGTTAATTACGGATGGTTATTCCGCACCCTTCATGCAAATGGGGCCTCCTTTTTCTTTATCTATATCTACTCCCATATCGGACGAGGTGTTTGTTATGGATCATTTGCTCTTTTCCACGCTTGGAGAATTGGTGTTCTAATTCTGTTTTTAACAATAACCACAGCCTTTCTAGGTTATGTCCTACCCTGGGGACAAATATCGTTTAGGGGTGCCACCGTTATTACAAACTTATTTTCTGCCATTCCCTATATTGGCACAGATTTAGTCCAATGAATTTGGGGAGGGTTCGCAGTTGATAACGCCACCTTAACTCGATTCTTTACATTCCACTTTCTACTGCCGTTTCTAATAGCTGTGGCTACACTCATCCATATTCTATTTATCCACCACTCTGGAGCCAACAACCCTTTAGGAGTAACCTCTTCTCTAAACAAAATTCCCTTCCATCCCTACTTTACATTTAAAGATATTGTAGGGTTCCTAGTTATACTTATACTCCTAGTCCTTTTAACTCTCCTAAACCCTTACTTACTTAGGGATCCTGATAATTTTACCCTGGCCACTTTGGATTTGAAGCCGCAGCTAGGTACTGGCATCTCGTTGATGTAGTTTGATTATTCCTTTATGGTTTTATTTACTGATGAGGGAGATAATTTTTTAGTATTAATGGTACGCCTAGCTTCCAACTAGAAAGTCTAATTGTTTAGAAAAATTAATTTTAACTACCAACCTGATCGCTCTTCTCACTCTCAGAGTTACAACTTTAATTATAACCCAATCCTCAATTCTATCGAAAAAAACCATTATAGACCGAGAAAAAATATCCCCATTTGAGTGCGGATTTGAGCCTAAGACTTCAACTTGGCTACCTTTTAGGCTTCAATTTTTCCTCATTACTATGATTTTCCTTATTTCTGACGTAGAAATTACATTGATTCCCCCTTTAGCCTAAATCTCTCCCCTTACAGACATTTTCTCTTGAATATTTACAGGATTATTTTCCCCCTAATCCTTCTTATAGGCCTCTACTATGAATGATATAAAGGTGCCTTAGAATGATCTAACTGGAAATGTAGTCAATAATGACATATGAGTTGCATTCATAAAATATTTATAAACCCCTTTCAAATTAGAAAGCGAAAGATTGCGTTTAGTTTCGACCTAAATTTTGGTTCCAAACCTCTAGTTTATTTCGACAGAAGCCAAAACCAAAAGCATATTACTGTTAATGATAAAATTGAATTTTCCTGTCAAGGAGAACCAGGTCAGTGAAAAAGCTTCTGACTTATTTCCCGAGCGATTAAATTCCGTTCGCTTCTCTTTTTTATAGTGTAAAAAAACACATTACATTTTCAATGTAAAACTGAAGATTTTCCTTCTAAAAATATCACCTACAGGCTAATAGCCACCTTTGCAGCTTTAATGCAAAATTCTAATTTAAAATATGTAAGTTAATTAAATAAAAATAAAAAACATGACAATAATTCAAATAAAAAATCCTTTTATATAAATTATAATCATATTATCTTGTCTTAACTGCAAGTAAATAGAACCTTTTATCATCACGCCGAATCCTCCCTCACCCCCAAAATATTCTGACCAACCTTTATCTCCAATCTTAAAAAAAGACTCGGCACCCCTTAGTCTACTTCGGGGTGCCCTAAAAGTCGACAAAATCGGCATAAACCACATAGACCCTACAAACATAACATAAGAATAAAACTTAACAGACTTTAACCTAGTCCTTGACCTTACTGTGTTAACAACATAACCTAAAAGAGCCCCTAGCCCTCTCACTAATAAAGCTAAAATTTTTAAAGAGACCCTCAAACAAATCATATAAGACTCTGGGAACACTACTCAAGCTAATACACACCCCCTTATTACCGCCCCAACCCTTAATGCCATTATTCCCTTTAACATTTTTCTATAGTTTTCCCTAACAAGTGTTACAGACCTTATATTAGAAACCCTCCTTATTCTATAGTAAATTAATCGAAATGTATAACACACCGTTAAACCAGTACTCAAAACATATATAAAAAATCTAAAAATATTAACTTCCCCTATAAATGCGACTTCTAAAATTAAATCCTTAGAGTAAAATCCAGCCAAGAAAGGTATCCCACATAGAGCTAGGTTAGCTAAATTCATGCAAACCCTAGTCAAAGGTATACATATCACTAACCTGCCTATATTATGAATATCTTGATACTCCTTAACTCTATGAATTACCATTCCCGCACACATAAACAATAAAGCCTTAAATAAGGCATGAGTCAATAAATGGAAAAAAGCTAAATCAGCAAACCCTAAAGATAAAATACTCATTATTACACCCAATTGTCTCAAAGTTGATAAAGCAATAATTTTTTTCAAATCAAATTCAAAATTAGCCCCCAAGCCCGCTATAAATATAGTTAAGCAAGAAACAATCAACAAAACCCTTTGCACACATGAACCTCTTAAAGCCCCACTAAAGCGAATCAAAATATAAACGCCAGCTGTAACTAGTGTTGAGGAATGAACTAAAGCTGAAACTGGAGTAGGAGCAGCTATAGCTGCCGGAAGTCAAGCCGAGAACGGAATCTGAGCTCTCTTAGTTATAGCAGCAACGCACACTAAAATTTTCAATAATAAAAAATCCCCACTCAAATGCCTTTCATAAAAAATAAAATTTCAACCCCCTAGCATGAAAAATAAAGAAATACTCAATAAAATCCCAACGTCTCCAATCCGATTTGACAAAACTGTCAATATACCCGCATTTGCTGATTTCTCGTTTTGGTAATAAATTAAATTACCAATACATAAGAAATTAACCCTAACCCATCCCAACCTAAAAGGATTCTAATTAAATTTGGGCTAATAATCAAAGCTCCTATAGATAAAACAAAACCAAAAACTAAATACATAAATCGCCTGTACCTCTTATCCCCACTCATATAATCCCCTCTATAGTATATTACCATAGAGGAGATAAATAAAACCACCCCTAAAAATAAGAACCTTACTCAATCATAAATCAAAGTTACTACAACAGAAGAAGAATTTAAAGAAAAAAGCTCTCATTCAATTACATAAGAAGACCTTGAGCTTACTCTCACCAAACTAAATAAAATAAAACCCAATGACCTAAATAACAAAAACACTAAACTCACTAAATGACTGTAGGCACCCCACATCATGATTTAAAATAACTTTCTTATATCTTCGATACCACAACCCGATGTTTTACTCTAAACTATCTAAATTGAAAGGTTCTAGTAGTTTAAACAAAAATCTTGGTCTTGTAAACCAAAGATAAAGCCCATTTTTAGAACTTTATACAAAATCAGTTATAATATTTTATATTTCACTCTCCCTCTTACCCTAAGAGTTGCTGTCCTATTCACGACTCTAAGGCACCCCTTTTCCATAGGACTAGCCCTACTTACCTCACCCAAACCATTTTTATCTGTGCTCTTTCAGGCCTATTCAAGCCTTCCTACTGATTTTCATATATTCTATTCCTAATTTTTCTAGGAAAAATATCAATTTTGTTCATTTATGTCTCTTCTCTTGCTTCCAACAAAGCCTTTAAAATTCATTTTAAATCTAGCATTCTAATAATCACCCTCTCCCTACCTATATCCTTTACCTTAATCTTTCTAGATCTCTTACTTCTCCCATCAAAATTTTCCAAATCTAAGCTATTCTTAATTCTAAGGAATAAAACAAATTTAGCCACCTTATCAACCAGTTCCATCTACTCCATTACTTCTTTCCCTCTTACTACTCTAGTAATTTTATATCTCTTACTTACCTTGATTGTTATTATTAGTATCTCATCAAGACCTCTGCGGCCCTCAAAATTCTAACAGAAAATAGTTTACTTAAAATATTAATTTTGGGGATTAAAGAAAAGTCCCTGCTTTTTCTGATTTTTTTATTAAAACTATTTCAATTATTTAATCCTTTCGTACTAAAATAACTTTGGACTCCTTAGAAGATAGAAACCAACCTGGCTTTCGCCGGTCTGAACTCAAATCATGTAAAAATTTAAAGGTCGAACAGACCTTCTTCTGTAACTGCTTCACCACAGAGAAATTTTTAATTCAACATCGAGGTCGCAAACTCTCTTGTCGATAAGAACTCTCAAAAAAAATTACGCTGTTATCCCTAAAGTAATTTATTCTCTAATCCTAAAAAAGGATCATACGAACAAATATCTCTGATTTAAACAAAAAACAGTTATATAATTTATATCCTAGTCGCCCCAACTAAACACCCTGCTGATAATAAACTTTAACATCTTAAATCACTCTTAACCAACTTCATGTATAAACTTTATAGGGTCTTATCGTCCCTCTAACTCATTTAAGCCTTTTCACTTAAAAGTTAAATTCAATCTCCAAGATAGAGACAGCTTTCTTCTCGTCCAACCATTCATTCCAGCATTCAATTAAAAGACTAATGATTATGCTACCTTCGCACGGTCAAAATACCGCGGCCTTTTAGTCCCCAATGGGCAGGTTAGACTTTATATAACTCTCATACAGACATGTTTTTGATAAACAGGCGGAAGAGCCCTATTTGCCGAATTCCTTATACTCATCACCCCTTCAATAAACCTCATTAATTTTCCAAAATTTATTTAAAACAAACAACTTATATACTAATACACTCACTTTAAATCTTTAAACTAAATTCATAAAAAGTCTTTCCTACCTACTTAAAAAATAATAAATGCTTCTCTCCCTGTACCTCAGATGCAACTCCCTGTAAACATAGCTACCCCTAAGCCTAGTTAAACATACCTTTCTATTTATTTTTATAACTAAAATAATTAAACAAAGAGCTTGCCCCCTCTGTTCCTAAGCCTTGCCTTACCTTAATGCAAAGAAAAAATTGAATTTTTTTCAAAAAAAACCAGATACCTTAAGACTCGATTAACATTTCACTACTAAAATAAGGTTTTGAATTTTTTTACCACAAAGACTCGACCTTTAATTTAGCTCTTCTTATTTCGGGAAGATATTATAAATATTTAATGTAAAATATCCCTAATACACAAGGTACTTAATTTAACTAATACTTCCTATTTATTTCACTAAAATATTTCAACTTTCCTGTACAGTACTATTCTCTATCACCAATCTATTAATTTCCTTAATTACCTACTTAAACCTAAAAATATTTTTCCTAACCATAATAATTAGCAAGTCTTCATAACAACCAAAATAAGTCACCCCTACGACAACCTTTTCAACGTAAGTGAAATGCTAATCTTTAGCTTTACTTTGAATCTACAATTTTAATCTCTCAAACAAATAAACTACGACCATCATAAAAAACTACGTATTTAACTTTACAAATTCTCCCATCCCCCTTAATGTCTATATATATATACATTTCTTTAAATGTAAATCCTTCTCGAAATCATTCATAATCTTGTAAATTATATAATCCATAATATATATATATAGGACATTCATAGTGTATCTGCGCACAGGTCATTATCTACTCCATTTAAGTATTTATATACTTGAAGCTAGTACTATATACAATATATATATATATCAAGCCATTTCATTAATTAGTTCATTGCTATAATCTACTAACCTATATATATAATACTCACAGTGTATCTGCGCACAGGTCATTATCTACTCCATTTAAGTATTTATATACTTGAAGCTAGCACATAACAACAAATTTATATATATCAAGCTATCTTCATTAATTAGTTTACTGCTATAATCAACTGACACTCATATCTCTTTCTCAGTGTATCTTTTCGGAGATTATTTAAAGGAAGCACAGCTTCATTTTATCTTCTTCAATGATCGTCTGTTAGGAATATCTTCGTGAAAATGGGGGAATCTAGAAGGAGACGATCAATACAGCTATAAGTAGAATCCCCTTTCTCACGAAGGGTTCTACTTATTAGCTGTATCAATCGGCAGAGCTCAATGTCATCGTTCTATTACAGTATAAATTAACTTACTCACGAATTACACTTAATGCACTACTTCCATACAAAGAAATGTATATATATAAAATAAAAAAATACAAAATTTACACCCCCTTTACATGCTTTTTCATTTTATTTTTTAGACAACTTACACCTCATCCTCTCAAATCTACTAAGAACAGCAGATATTCAATGAGGAATTCAAGATACTTTAAGATCAACCTCTACCCTTGCCCCCTTTAGTCCCCAACACTCTTTATAAAAATTAGAATCGCACCAATCCCCGAAAGATCAAACCTTTTCATGCCCTATGCACTTCTACATATATTATAAAGATAAGCTAAGTTTCAAGCTAATGGGCTCATACCTCATTTATGAGAATAATCTCTCTTTATAATTTCATTCTCACCTCATAAAATCATTCTTATACTATCACTTTTGTCAGGATCCTTCCTGGCCGTTTCTTCTTCCTCATGATTTTCAGCCTGAATTGGCCTCGAACTCAATCTTATATCATTTATCCCTTTAATCTCATCAAAAGAAAATCAACTTCCATCCGAAGCCTCCTTGAAATATTTCTTAATCCAAGCCCTTGGCTCAGCCATTATCATCCTATCTTCAACCTTAACATTTTTTATTCCAATAGTCTCGCTCTCATTTATTTCCTTAGCTCTCCTCCTTAAACTAGGGGCTGCTCCGTTCCATTTTTGATTTCCCCAAGTCATAGAAGGTCTTAATTGGACTCAGATTATTATTCTCATAACAATCCAAAAACTTGCCCCAATATTCCTAATTTCTTATTTATCCTCAGAATATTATACACACTTGCTTCTCTTTTTAGGTGGGATCTCTTCTGCTATCATTGGAGCACTAGGAGGAATCAATCAGACATCCCTCCGAAAAATTTTAACCTACTCATCTATTAATCATCTATCATGAATACTTTTCGCCATACTTATTAATGAAACCTCCTGAATAATCTACTTTCTTATATACACTCTAATCTCGGCTTCTGTGGTCTTCCACTTCGCATCCACCCAGACATATTTTTTTTCTCACTTAATTAACGCAAATTATGACCCCCTCCCTAAAATCATCTCACCTATAAACCTTTATTCTCTAGGAGGCCTGCCTCCTTTTTCAGGTTTTATTCCTAAATGAATTATTACCCAAGAAATAATCCTATCCTCCTTCTACTTACCTTTATTTATTCTCCTTCTTTCTTCTCTAGTAACTCTTTACTTTTATATCCGAATTACCTTATCCTCCATCTCAATTTCCTTTACCCAAATAAAATGAAATATCCCCCTTAAACCCCTTAAAATCCTCTCATCTCCATTATGCACCTCAATCAATTTATTCGGACTTTTTATCCCATCCATACTTTTGGTTATCTAAGATTTTAAGTTAATTTAAACTAACATCCTTCAAAGCTGTCAAAAAAAGTAATAATCTTTTAAATCTTACCTTTAACTGATAAGAAAGTATAACTTCTACTTAAATTTACAATCTAACCCCTTTGACCTTAGCCATCTTATCCCATAGATCACACAAAATTAGAGAACCCTTCACAAACATGATATTTAACGGAACACTATACATTAACAAGACAAAATACTCCCCTACCTTCCCAGAACAACAAGAAAATAAAGCATTTAAAAATAGCCCATGCTATCTTAATGAATACATATATAAAGTATAACAAGCCCTGAAAAAAGACAATATCCCTACTCTAAATATAATTAATTTCCTCCATCTAACCACTCTAATAATTAGACTAATCTCTCCTATTAAGTTTAAAGTTGGAGAAGCAGCTATATTCCCCACAGCTAATAAAAACCACCACAAACCTATATTTGTTATAACATTTAGCAAACCTTTCCTAATTATCAAACTTCGCCTTCCTAAACGCTCGTAAACCATATTTGCTAAACAAAATAAACCTGAAGAACATAAACCATGGCCTACCATCACTACTAAGGCCCCATTTAAACTCCACCCCCCCCCCTATAACGACCAATCCACTTAACACTAAACCCATATGAGCCACAGAAGAATAAGCAACTAAAGATTTCATATCCACTTAACGCAAACACATTAAACTAATAACAACACCTCCTAAAATCCCAAGACTCACTCACACCCAACAAAATATTTTATTTACCTTTGAAAACACCCCCAAAATCCGAATTAAACCATAACCTCCTAACTTCAATAACACCCCGGCCAATACTATCGACCCCGCGACTGGAGCCAGATCAGTAAATTATCTAATGTTCTATATTAGATTTGAGAGGTCATTGGTTCCTATACTTGTATTAATTTTGGGTTGAGGTTATCAACCTGAGCGGATCCAGGCTGGAATTTATATATTGTTCTATACTTTATTTGCTTCTTTACCATTGTTAGCTTCTTTATTGAGGTTATATAAAAGTGAAGGGAGATTAAACATAGGATTATTACTGTCAGGAATAATTGGCTATCAGGGAACTAGGTTATTGTGGTATTTTTGTTCTGTGTTAGCGTTTATGGTTAAATTACCTCTGTTTATATTTCATTTATGGTTACCTAAGGCCCATGTGGAGGCTCCAGTCGCGGGGTCGATAGTATTGGCCGGGGTGTTATTGAAGTTAGGAGGTTATGGTTTAATTCGGATTTTGGGGGTGTTTTCGGAGGTAAATAAAATATTTTGTTGGGTGTGAGTGAGTCTTGGGATCTTAGGAGGTGTTGTTATTAGTTTAATGTGTTTGCGTCAAGTGGATATGAAATCTTTAGTTGCTTATTCTTCTGTGGCTCATATGGGTTTAGTGTTAAGTGGATTGGCCGTTATAGGGGGGTGGGGTTTAAATGGGGCTGTAGTAGTGATGGTAGGTCATGGTTTATGTTCTTCAGGTTTATTTTGTCTAGCAAATATGGCTTACGAGCGTTTGGGAAGGCGAAGTTTGATAATTAGGAAAGGTTTGTTAAATGTTATACCAAATATAGGTTTATGGTGGTTTTTATTAGCTGTGGGGAATATAGCTGCTCCTCCAACTTTAAACTTAATAGGAGAGATTAGTCTGATTATTAGAGTGGTTAGATGGAGGAAATTAATTATATTTAGAGTAGGGATATTGTCTTTTTTCAGGGCTTGTTATACTTTGTATATGTATTCATTAAGGCAACATGGGCTATTTTTAAATGCTTTATTTTCTTGTTGTTCTGGGAAGGTAGGGGAGTATTTTGTCTTGTTAATGCATAGCGTTCCGTTAAATATCATGTTTGTGAAGGGTTCACTAATTTTGTGTGATCTATAGGATAAGATGGCTGAGGTCAAAGGCGTTGGATTGTAAATCTAAGTAGAAGTTATACTTTCTTATCAGTTAAAGGTAAGATTTAAAAGATTATTACTTTTTTGACAGCTTTGAAGGATGTTAGTTTAAATTAACTTAAAATCTTAGGTAACCAAAAGTATGGATGGGATAAAAAGTCCGAATAAATTGATTGAGGTGTATAATGGAGATGAGAGGATTTTAAGGGGTTTAAGGGGGATATTTCATTTTATTTGGGTAAAGGAAATTGAGATGGAGGATAAGGTAATTCGGGTATAAAAGTAAAGAGTTACTAGAGAAGAAAGAAGGAGGATAGGATTATTTCTTGGGTAATAATTCATTTAGGAATAAAACCTGAAAAAGGAGGCAGGCCTCCTAGAGAATAAAGGTTTATAGGTGAGATGATTTTAGGGAGGGGCCATAATTTGCGTTAATTAAGTGAGGAAAAAATATGTCTGGGTGGATGCGAAGTGGAAGACCACAGAAGCCGAGATTAGAGTGTATATAAGAAAGTAGATTATTCAGGAGGTTTCATTAATAAGTATGGCTAAAAGTATTCATGATAGATGATTAATAGATGAGTAGGTTAAAATTTTTCGGAGGGGTGTCTGATTGATTCCTCCTAGTGCTCCGATGATAGCAGAAGAGATCCCACCTAAAAAGAGAAGCTAGTGTGTATAATATTCTGAGGATAAATAAGAAATTAGGAATATTGGGGCAAGTTTTTGGATTGTTATGAGAATAATAATCTGAGTTCAATTAAGACCTTCTGTGACTTGGGGAAATCAAAAATGGACCGGAGCGGTCCCTAGTTTAAGGAGAAGAGTTAAGGAAATAAATGAGAGCGAGACTGTTGGAATAAAAATGTTAAGGTTGAAGATAGGATGATAATGGCTGAGCCAAGGGCTTGGATTAAGAAATATTTCAAGGAGGCTTCGGATGGAAGTTGATTTTCTTTTGATGAGATTAAAGGGATAAATGATATAAGATTGAGTTCAAGGTCAATTTAGGCTGAAAATCATGAGGAAGAAGAAACGGCCAGGAAGGATCCTGACAAAAGTGATAGAATAAGAATGATTTTATGAGGTGAGAATGAAATTATAAAGAGGGATTATTCTCATAAATGAGGTATGAGCTTATTAGCTTGAAACTTAGCTTATCTTTATAGCATATGTAGAAGTGCATAAGGTATGAAAAGGTTTGATCTTTCAGGGATTGGTGTGATTCTAATTTACATAAAGAGTGTTGGGGACTAAAGGGGGCAAGGGTAGGATCTTAAAGTATCTTGAGTTCCTCTTTGAATATCTGCTGTTCTTAGTAGATTTGAGAGGATGAGGTGTAAGTTGTCTAAAAAATAAAATGAAAAAGCATGTAAAGGGGGGTGTAAATTTTGTATTTTTTTATTTTTTATATATATACATTTCTTTATATGAAAGTAGTGCATTAAGTGTAATTCGTGAGTAAGTTAATTTATACTGTAATAGAACGATGACATTGAGCTCTGCCGATTGATACAGCTAATAAGTAGAACCCTTCGTGAGAAAGGGGATTCTACTTATAGCTGTATTGATCGTCTCCTTCTAGATTCCCCCATTTTCACGAAGATATTCCTAACAGACGATCATTGAAGAAGATAAAATGAAGCTGTTACTTCTTTATATTAATCTCCGAAAAGATACACTGAGAAAGAGATATGAGTGTCAGTTGATTATAGCAGTAAACTAATTAATGAAGATAGCTTGATATATATAAATTTATTGTTATGTGCTAGCTTCGAGTGTATAAATACTTAAATGAGATAGATAATGACCTGTGCGCAGATACACTATGAATGTCCTATATATATATTATGGATTATATAATTTACAAGATTATGAATGATTTCGAGAAGGATTTACATTTAAAGAAATGTATATATATATAGACATTAAGGGGGAGGGGAGAATTTGTAAAGTTAAATACGCAGTTTTTATGACGGTCGTAGTTTATTTGTTTGAGAGATTAAAATTGTAGATTCAAAGTAAAGCTAAAGATTAGCATTTCACTTACGTTGAAAAGGTTGTCGTAGGGGTGACTTATTTTGGTTGTTATGAAGACTTGCTAATTATTATGGTTAGGAAAAATATTTTTAGGTTTAAGTAGGTAATTAAGGAAATTAATAGATTGGTGATAGAGAATAGTACTGTACAGGAAAGTTGAAATATTTTAGTGAAATAAATAGGAAGTATTAGTTAAATTAAGTACCTTGTGTATTAGGGATATTTTACATTAAATATTTATAATATCTTCCCGAAATAAGAAGAGCTAAATTAAAGGTCGAGTCTTTGTGGTAAAAAATTCAAAACCTTATTTTAGTAGTGAAATGTTAATCGAGTCTTAAGGTATCTGGTTTTTTTTGAAAAAAATTCAATTTTTTCTTTGCATTAAGGTAAGGCAAGGCTTAGGATCAAAGGGGACAAGCTCTTTGTTTAATTATTTTAGTTATAAAAATAAATAGAAAGGTATGTTTAACTAGGCTTAGGGGTAGCTATGTTTACAGGGAGTTGCATCTGAGGCACAGGTAGAGAAGCATTTATTATTTTTTAAGTAGGTAGGAAAGACTTTTTATGAATTTAGTTTAAAGATTTAAAGTGAGTGTATTAGTATATAAGTTGTTTGTTTTAAATAAATTTTGGAAAATTAATGAGGTTTATTGAAGGGGTGATGAGTATAAGGAATTCGGCAAATAGGGCTCTTCCGCCTGTTTATCAAAAACATGTCTGTATGAGAGTTATATAAAGTCTAACCTGCCCATTGGGGACTAAAAGGCCGCGGTATTTTGACCGTGCGAAGGTAGCATAATCATTAGTCTTTTAATTGAAGGCTGGAATGAATGGTTGGACGAGAAGAAAGCTGTCTCTATCTTGGGGATTGAATTTAACTTTTAAGTGAAAAGGCTTAAATGAGTTAGAGGGACGATAAGACCCTATAAAGTTTTATACATGAAGTGGTTAAGAGTGATTTAAGGTGCTAAAGTTTATTATCAGCAGGGTGTTTAGTTGGGGCGACTAGGATATAAATTATATATTTGTTTTTTGTTTAAATCAGAGATATTTGTCCGTATGATCCTTTTTTAGGATTAGAGAATAAATTACTTTAGGGATAACAGCGTAATTTTTTTTGAGAGTTCTTATCGACAAGAGAGTTTGCGACCTCGATGTTGAATTAAAAATTTCTCTGTGGTGAAGCAGTTACAGAAGAAGGTCTGTTCGACCTTTAAATTTTTACATGATTTGAGTTCAGACCGGCGAAAGCCAGGTTGGTTTCTATCTTCTAAGGAGTTCAAAGTTATTTTAGTACGAAAGGATTAAATAATTGAAATAGTTTTAATAAAAAAATCAGAAAAATCAGAAAAAGCAGGGACTTTTCTTTAATCTCCAAAATTAATATTTTAAGTAAACTATTTTCTGTTAGAATTTTGAGGGTCGCAGAGGTCTTGATGAGATACTAATAATACTAATAATAACAATCAAGGTAAGTAAGAGATATAAAATTACTAGAGTAGTAAGAGGGAAAGAAGTAATGGAGTAGATGGAACTGGTTGATAAGGTGGCTAAATTTGTTTTATTCCTTAGAATAAAGAATAGCCTAGATTTGGAAAATTTTGATGGGAGAAGTAAGAGATCTAGAAAGATTAAGGTAAAGGATATAGGTAGGGAGAGGGTGATTATTAGAATGCTAGATTTAAAATGAATTTTAAAGGCTTCGTTGGAAGCAAGAGAAGAGACATAAATGAACAAAATTAATATTCCTCCTAGAAAAATTAGAAATTAGAATATTATGAAAATCAGTAGGAAGGGCCTGAATAGGCCTGAAAGAGCACAGATAAAAATGGATGGGAAAGGTAGGGCTAGTCCTATGAAAGGGGGTGTCTTAGAGTCGTGAATAGGACAGCAACTCTTAGGGTAAGGGGAGAGTGAAATATAAATATTATAACGGGTTTTGTATAAAGTTCTAAAATGGTTTTTATCTTTGGTTTACAAGACCAAGATTTTTGTTTAAACTACAAACCTTTCAATTTAAATAGTTTAGAGTAAAACATCGGGTTGTGGTATCGAAGATATAAGAAAGTTATTTTAAATCATGATGGGGGGGGGGGTCCCTATAGTCAATTTTAGTGGGTTTAGTGTTTTTGTTATTTAGGTCATTGGGTTTTATTTTATTTAGTTTGGTGGGAGTAAGCTCAAGGTCTTCTTATGCAATTGAATGAGAGCTTTTTCTTTAAATTCTTCTTCTGTTGTAGTAACTTTGATTTATGATTGAGTAAGGTTCTTATTTTTAGGGGTAGCTTTATCTATGTCCTCTATGGTAATATACTATAGAGGGGATTATATGAGTGGAGATAAGAGGCACAGGCGATTTATATATTTAGTTTTTGGTTTTATTTTATCTATAAGGGCTTTGATTATTAGCCCAAATTTAGTTAGAATCCTTTTAGGTTGGGACGGGTTAGGGTTAATTTCTTATGTATTGGTAATTTATTACCAAAACGAGAAATCAGCAAATGCGGGTATATTGACAGTTTTGTCAAATCGGATTGGAGACGTTGGGATTTTATTGAGTATTTCTTTACTTTTCATGCTAGGGGGTTGAAATTTTATTTTTATGGAAGGTATTTGAGTGGGGATTTTTTATTATTGAAAATTTTAGTGTGCGTTGCTGCTATAACTAAGAGAGCTCAGATTCCGTTCTCGGCTTGACTTCCGGCAGCTATAGTTGCTCCTACCCCAGTTTCAGCTTTAGTTCATTCCTCAACACTAGTTACAGCTGGCGTTTATATTTTGATTCACTTTAGTGGGGCTTTAAGAGGTTCATGTGTACAAAGGGTTTTGTTGATTGTTTCTTGCTTAACTATATTTATAGCGGGCTTGGGGGCTAATTTTGAATTTGATTTGAAAAAAATTATTGCTTTATCAACTTTGAGACAATTGGGTGTAATAATGAGTATCCTATCTTTAGGGTTTGCATGAATTTAGCTAACCTGGCTCTATGTGGGATACTTTTCTTGGCTGGATTTTACTCTAAGGGTTTAATTTTAGAAGTCGCATTTATAAGGGAAGTTAATATTTTTAGATTTTTTATATATGTTTTGAGTACTGGTTTAACGGTGTATACATTTCGATTAATTTACTATAGAATAAGGAGGGTTTCTAATATAAGGTCTGTAACACTCGTTAGGGAAAGCTATAGAAAATTGTTAAAGGGAATAATGGCATTAAGGGTTGGGGCGGTAACAAGGGGGTGTGTATTAGCTTAAGTAGTGCTCCCAGAGTCTTATATGATTTGTTTGAGGGTCTCTTTAAAAATTTTAGCTTTATTAGTGAGAGGGCTAGGGGCTCTTTTAGATTATGTTGTTAACATAGTAAGGTCAAGGGCTAGGTTAAAGACTGTCAAGTTTTATTCTTATGTTATGTTTGTAGGGTCTATGTGGTTTATGCCGATTTTGTCGACTTTTAGGGCACCCCGAAGTAGACTAAGGGGTGCCCGTCTTTTTTTAAGATTGGAGATAAAGGTTGGTCAGAATATTTTGGGGGTGAGGGAGGATTCGGTGTGATGATAAAAGGTTCTATTTACTTGCAGTTAAGACAAGATAATATGATTATAATTTATATAAAAGGATTTTTTATTTGAATTATTGTCGTGTTTTTTATCTTTATTAAATTAACTTACATATTTTAAATTAGAATTTTGCATTGAAGCTGCAAAGGTGGCTATTAGCCTGTAGGTGATATTTTTAGAAGGAAAATCTTCAGTTTTACATTGAAAATGTAATGTGTTTTTTACACTATAAAAAAGAGAAGCGAACGGAATTTAATCGCTGGGGAAATAAGTCAGAAGCTTTTTCACTGACCTGGTTCTCCTTGACAGGAAAAATTCAATTTTATCATTAACAGTAATATGCTTTTGGTTTTGGCTCCTGTCAAAATAAACTAGAGGTTTGGAACCAAAATTTAGGTCGAAACTAAACGCAATCTTTCGCTTTCTAATTTGAAAGGGGTTTATAAATACTTTATGAATGTAACTCATATGTCATTATTGACTACATTTCCAGTTAGATCATTCTACGGCACCTTTATATCATTCATAGTAGAGGCCTATAAGAGGGATTAGGAGGAAAATAATCCTGTAAATCTTCAAGAGAAAATATCTGTAAGGGGAGAGATTTAGGCTAAAGGGGGAGTCAATGTAATTTCTACGTCAAAAATTAGGAAAATCACAGTAATGAGGAAAAATTGAAGCCTAAAAGGCAGCCAAGTTGAAGTCTTAGGCTCAAATCCGCACTCAAATGTGGATATTTTTTTCTCGGTCTATAATGGTTTTTTTTCGATAGAATTGAGGATTGGGCTATAATTAAAGTTGTAACTCTGAGAGTGAGAAGAGTGATCAGGTTGGTAGTTAAAATTAATTTTTCTAAACAATTAGACTTTCTAGTTGGAAGCTAGACGTACCATTAATACTAAAAAATTATCTCCCTCATCAGTAAATAAAAACATAAAGGAATAATCAAACTACATCAACGAAATGCCAGTACCTAGCTGCGGTTTCAAATCCAAAGTGGTGGTTGTTAGAGAAGTGACACTTGAATAGGTGATAAAAACAGATTGTTAGAAATGAAGTCTCAATGATCACATGAAGGCCGTGGAATCCAGTTGGTGCAAAGAAGGGGGTCCCGTAGATTGAGTCTGCGATAGAGAAAGACGCTTCTAAATATTCATATGCTTGAAGGGAGGTGAAGTAAACTCCAAGGAGGACGGTTAATCCTAGACTTTGTATAGCTTTATAATGGCGTGAGTTAAGGATTGCGTGAGGTGTTCAAGTTACTATCGCTCCTGATAAAAGCAGAATAGTTGTATTAAGAAGGGGAACTTGGAAAGGATTGAAGGGTTGGATACCTTCAGGTGGTCAAAATATTCCGATTTCAATTGTAGGTGCAAGACTTCTGTGAAAGAACGCCAAAAAAATAAGAAGAAAAATAGTACCTCAGAGATGATAAATAAAATTATTCCCCACCGGAGGCCTTTTATGACGGCTTGGATATGAAGCTCTTGGTACATCCCCTCTCGAGTTATGTCTCGTCATCATTGAATTATGGTTAAAAAAAAATAGGAATAAATCTAAAAAAGAGGAGATCTGGATTAAATTGATGAAATCATTTGATGAGCCCTGATGTTAAAAGCATAGCTCTAATTGATCTGGTTAAGGGTTAAGGTCCTATGCCAACTAAACGGAAGGCATGGTGTCTATGTGATGACATTAATTTACTTCACTGGCATAAAGAGTTCTGAGAACTGCAAGTACATAGGATTGAATGATTGCAACAGCAAACCCTAGTATAAGGAGAAGAATTTGGGCTAGAATGAGAAAAATTAATAGTTTAGAGGATAAAGAGGGCCCATCCTCCCAAGTAAGGTAAGGAGGAGGTGGCCTGCAATTATGTTTGCTGCAAGTCGGATGACCAATGTGCCTGGTCGAATAATATTCCTAATTGTTTCGATGAGGACTATAAAAGGTATAAGTTGGGGTTCCTTGAGGCACTAAGTGGGCAAACATGTGCTGGGTGTGGTTTAGCCATCCAAACAAAATAAAGGTCAGCCACAAAGGTAGAGCTAAGGTTAGAGTTGTTGTTAGGTGCCTGGATCATGGAAAATAGCCTTGCTATCATTTTCAAGGTTTTTCTAGAATTGTTGGTGTGTTGGTGAAAGTTTCTGTTTTAATTGGAAGTTTATAGAAGAAATTAATGATAAAGAATAAAATATAACCAAGAGTGAATATTAGAAAGAGATTAAGTCAAAGTAAGGCGCTATTTGAGGCATTCTAAAATACCATAAGAATGATAATTTTAATCTGACAAACTAATGTTATTTTTTAACTAATTTTAGTCTCTAGAAGTAGGAGAACTACTTTTAGGTTTAAAAGACCTAAGCCTTTATAAGTTATCTGGAGAGAAAGTTAATTATGAATTTCTAGAAACTCAATTCAAGAAAGAGTCTACTGAAATTCTTTCAATTAGAATTGGTATAAACCTGTGGTTAGCCCCACAAATTTCGGAACATTGACCGTAGAATAGGCCCGGTCGACTTACAAGAAACCTAACTTGATTAAGTCGTCCTGGGATGGCGTCGGCTTTCACCCCTAAGGAGGGAATAGTTCAGGAATGGATTACGTCTGCTGCTGAGATGATAAGACGAATTTGAGTATTTAAGGGGATAGGGATTCGGTTGTCAACATCTAAAAGTCGTAAATTTGAGTTGATATTATAGGGTGCCATGAAGGAATCAAATTCGATATTTAGAAAGTCTGAATATTCGTAAGATCAATATCATTGATGTCCGACGGTTTTAATTG